GTCAAATTTCTTGCAAATGTTCTGAAGCAGTCAGCAATGCCAGTTTATTAGTGTTTAACTGTTTGAGTATCATTACATTTACTAACAAAAGTCTCAAGCAAATAAAAAATATCCAGAAATTCAGCAGTTTACAGACTGACAGCTAAATCATTGATTTGGAAATTCCTAACTATTTATTCCTAATTATTTGAAAACAAGAAGGAAAATGTGAATGGAAGATTTAGCATAGAAGAGGTCTGGCTTGGTTATCTGGAAGAAGTTTGATCCATGACTCCTGAGGAAGTAGACAGGATCCTTAGGACTCTTAGCCCAGCCAGCTATCTACTAGATCCTTGTCCCTTCTGGCTTGTGAAGGCCACTCAAGAGATGACACATTGTGGGGTCCATGTAGTGATGTCAGCTTCTTTGAAAAAAGGGGTGACCTGACCTGCCTTGAAAGAGGCCATCACTGGACCCAACCTCTCTGGACAATTTTCATCCTATTTCCAACCTTCCCTTTTTGGGGAAGACTGTGGAGAAGGTGGTTGAATTGCAGTTATAGAAGGTCCTGGATGAAAAGCATACTGGCTGAGGAATTCTGGGAGTTGAAATCCACACATCTTGAAGTTGCCATGTTTGAAAAACACTGATCTAGACTCTTTTCAGTCAGATTTAAGGTTGGGACACAGTACTCAGATGGCATTGATCGCCCTTGTCAATGACCTCTGATGGAGCCAAGATGGGGTGGTGCAACCATTCTGGCCCTCCTGGATCTCTTTTTCAATACTATTGGCCATGGCATCTTTTGGACTGATTGTGAGCTATGAGAGTGGGGATACTGTGTTGTGGTGGTGCTCCTCCTTTCTCTACAGCTCCAACTAGTGTTCGAGGGGGAAGACGTTGAAGCCCAAACCTTTCTGTGGGGTGCCTCAGGGCTCAACACTCTCAGCCTTCCTGCTTAATATCTACACGATACTGTTGGGGGAGGTCATCCATTGTAGGTCAGGTATCATCAATATACTGATGATACCCAGCTGTATATCTCAACTTCTAGCCAACCAAGCAATGCTTCTGAGGCTTTGTCCCATTCTCTGGAAGCTGTTGGGATCTGGATGTGGAGTCTGGATGTGGAGGAACAGGCTCTGGATGCAGTCTGGATGTGGAGGACAGGCTCAGACTCAACCCTAGCAAGGCTGAGTGGCTTTGAGTGTTTGGTCCTATAGTTCGGGGAACTTTCCACCTTTAGTCCTGAGGGGGACGTTACTGACCTACTCGAGACCTATGCACAATTTGAGGGGGTCTTCCTGAATTGAGAGCTCCTCCTCAAGGAGCATGTAACAGCTGTGGACAGGAAAGCTTTTGCATAGGTTCAGCTGGCGCACCAGTTGTTCCCATTCCTGGAGAGGCCGCCTCATGGTCACTTGTGCCTTGTTCACCTTGCAGTTGGATTACTGCAATGGTGCTGGCCAGGAAGACCATCCAAAAATTACAGCTGGTCCAAAGTGCAGCAGAATGAGTGATGGGCAAGCCTAATTTTGCCCATGTAGTACTCTTGCTATGTGAGCTGCGCTGGTGGCTAGTTAGATTCCAGGTACATTTCATGGTGCCGGTTATAGTCAATTAAAAAATGCGACCTAATGGGATCCTGAGGCAGGCCTTCCCTGTTGCTGCACCTGCCTTATGGAATAGTCTCCACCCCCCACCAAGATCTGCATGGCTCCCACCTTGCCTACCATCAAGCAATTTTTAAACATTGATTATTTCTGAAGGCCTGGAGCTAGGATGTTTGGGAGGTCCCTTTTAGTGGCTAGTGAAGTGAAGGTATGTGGTGTCTTTTGTAGTTTTTCTCGATATGCTGTTTTATTTTGTCATACATTGTTCCTTTTGTATTTTATTGTGTTTTTAGTTTGTGAAGCCGCCCATAGTCATTTGGAAGTTAAGTGGCCTAAAAATGTGAAAATCAAATTAAATTAAATAATCCTGGATTCTCACATACATTTCTTCTATTACTATCATTGTTCTATTTATACTGTCCATGATATGCTCACAATAATCCTGTAAAAAGGGTTAGGCTAAAACATAGCAACTGGTCTAAGAACTCATAGTGAATTTCATGGTTGAATGGGGATTTAAGCCTAGATCTCCTCAACAAAACTAGCCCTACAATCTAACCTTACCATGTCATAAAGGAACCACAAAGAATTCATCTTCATTACAGTTTACACAGCAAAACAATACTAATAAATAAGGAGCAATGCCAGTTAAGGAGCAATTAACTGGCATTCTGCACAGTGGCATACCAGAGCATATTATTTTTTTAACATCCCCTCCCTCTTGCTGCTGTGCTGTTGACCACCAAACAGCTGATTAGTGTGCTGGCAGCAATGGCCTGACTCCACACTGCTGCCAATCCTCTGGATAGCCTCCAGAGTCATCACACAATGTACCCCCTTATTATCTGCACCAGGGCAGATTGTTCCCTATCCCCACCCTTGGTATGCCACTGATTCTGTATGTCTACCATGTGTAATCCATTCATTTTATATTCTGGCAGATAATAAAATCATTTTTTACGTACGGTATTGGTCAGGTGATTGTCAGGAGAGTTCTCTCTCAGTTGCCCACGCGGGACCTGTGATAAGTGTGCAGATAGTTCTGCCATTGGGACTTTCTTTCTTCTTGAGTTACTGCAGCTGTAAATTTTTTAAAAAGAGAGATGTTCTGAAAACCTACAATATAGCTGGCTGAACTCAAATGAAAATCCACCTTAGCAGTTCTAAATCAGTGTGAATAAAACGTAGTTTGATGTAGATGTTAACATTGCCTAACTAACTATTGTGGAGTGATTTTACACTTACCCTGGATTTGTGATTGGCAAATCTGTTTCAAACCAAATTTTATCTAAACTTGACCTTCAATATCACTCACAATATAATCAGAACTAGCTGTAAAACTGTAGAAGGATACTTGCATGAGATGAATTTACAAGTTAATAAACACTCTTTATTGTAAATTATGATTAGGCAACATAAAAGTGTTATGCACCCAACCAATATGATATCAAAAACTGAATAGCATTATAGCTCAGAATATGTACTCTTAAAAAAACTGGCTGTCCATCCTCTGAAGGTTTCTTCGCCCTCCCATCTCAACTGGAATAAAAAAACTCTTTTCCAATTTGTAAAGAAATTTCTCAGAAAAAGCTAATTTTAAATTCTGGCATCAGAAAGAAATGAAGTATGATTGATACATTCTAGAATATAAACATCCATGTATATTATTATTACTACCACAGTACACCTTCTGCTGTAGAGAAAGAAGAATGCAGTTTGCATGCAATTTTGAAGAAGGATGGGGTGGCAATAAAGAAAACACAAATAAACAATTAACTAATATTTGGAGGAAGACAAGAGTAATCTAAAAACAAGAAATGAAAGTAAAGTGAGGCAAGTTGAGTGAAGACAGACTGCTGAAGTACTGGTCTTGAAGAAACACCTTGAAGGATATTATGAAGTGAAAAAATGAACTGAGGAGAAAAGATTGCTTGCAGCCTAGAGAAGGTGTGGGCAATATTTTTCAACATGTCATCTGCACCCTACGTGGGGGCTATATAGAGCTAGACCAATAACACATTGTAGGAGAGGTAAAGTTGAAAATTCCATTTTTCCCCCCATGGGGTGGTGGTAGAGGGTATTAAAGGCTAAATTGCTACCTTCAGTCTCCCAGGAAATGCCCTACCACCTCCAGTTTATTACATGTTTACTATCAAAATATTGTCATTATTATTAAAAGTACAAGTTAAGTAGCCTGGTTTGTGCTAATGGAAGTGTCTGTGGGCACACTGATGTTCTAGGTGCCAGGCTGAGATCCTCAGTCACAGCAGTTTACAAAACAGAAACTGAAATACCAAAATCAAATGATTTCAAAATCAAAAATGACATAACAAAGATGAGTGGAAAGTAGATCTGGATGTCCTGCTAGAGCTCACGATATGTTTATTTGATCAGCAAGGTTTCCTGATCAAATGTTTGCTATTTAACAAAAGGAGCAATAACATGACTTCTGTGCCACTCTAAATCATGTTACTAAAATGATAAAGGGATAAGCAGAAATAAATTGTTAGTACTGAAAAAAGATCACCACAGAGCATATTGGCAGAAATATTTTGTTATCGTTATGAGAAGATGTTTTGGTAAGGATTTGGTGATGCAATCAAGAATGACAGCTGTTACAGTTTCTGGTCTGATGGTAAGACAAATACTCTGGTCAGTACAGCCAATGTCCTTTTTATTCAAGAATGAGCCAAGCTCCACTCAAATAATGGCTACAATAAAGAATTGTACAGGGTTCATACAATTGATCATTGTTTGTCTTTTAGTAAAAACAGCTGAGATTTTCAACTGCCTATTTTGCCTTGACTCTATATGATATAAACACAACTGGAACATATCTAATATCTACTGAGGTAGCATTAAAAAAATAACAGAGAAAGGAAAACGTATAATGATAATTTCTGTTTTGTTTTCCATATTTTGTCCATTAAGTTCAAAGAAGCAATGATTGAAAAACATGTAGGAAAGATACACAGTGATACAAAAAAAAAGAAGTCTCTTTGGGGCTATTCAACTATTAGTAACTTCATAGGCATGTCCATGTATGAGTTTTTTTTGTTTGTTCTTGTTTTAGCAACAATACTTAATTGGTTTTCTGGTATACTTTTCAGACTTCCCAGTCTAACCTACTGCCCTGATAACAAAATATGGCTCCATGTGTGTAGACAAGTACTAGAAGCCATTCTAAAGAAATGAGTAATATCCCCTTAAAACTATAATCTGATGCATATTTATTTGGCAGTAATCAGGCTCCATTTATTCAGTGGAAACTACCTGCTAAAAGACTGCATTAAAAGGAAAAGCAAGACTGTTGAATATTAAACACAGAATAAGGGAGGACAGCTGCACATTGTGTTAAAACATGAGGTAGGTGAATACTAGCAACTGGTTCAAGCTCTGTTCTTTTGCCATGCTAAGCTAGTTAATTAAAAATCTAGCATCCTATTCAAATTAAGAACTTGAGTAAAAATACGGTCAAGATGTAGTAACTTGCTTTTCAGACATCTTCCAGCCATATCGTCTGTTTTCCAGGGCTGGTCAACATGTTACATTTGATTCCACAAAATGCTTTGGATCATATAGACTGCAAATGCAGCATCTTTCTGCTTTTTGAAATAGCTACATCTCCTTCCAGGAAAAGACACTCTGCTTTAAAGATACAGACAGCTGCTGCATTTGCACCTCTGGGTATTCTGAAGCACCTTTGCACAGAATCAAATCTGAAGCATCACACAGCCCCATTGTTTCCCCATTTTTTCCTTATCTGAGCCAGGGGTTGAAATAAGAAGAGAAAGAGGATAGTGGGAGGTTAAACCTTTCACCACCCTATCCACAGTGGCACTAATCCTTGTGATGGCATCAGTTTTGTTTTGTTTTTAAAGCAGGAAGCAATAACTGCAAGACACCTGTTTTCAATCTAAATGAAGCTAGCCTGTTTCATGGGTTGTTTAGTAACCAACCTATCCATTATAAATTAACTTACCTATGGTTAAGGTGTTGGGTTAGCCATGCTATGTGAACATGCTGTTTGCATTCTTATACTGCCTGCATCTCCACATTATACTCACCCATGGTTTATTAAATAAACTACAATAAGCTGGGTTCACAGAACACACTAACCCAAACTAGTGAGACTGATATTGTGGAAGGAGATATGATACTCTCTTCTTCAGTAATTGCCACTGAGCTGTTGGAAAAATATTTGAAAGCAATCTGGAATTGCATATACCCCCATAAGAGGATTTATTAAACCAGTTATTACTAAACACTATTTCATATGTAAAGGAAACTAAGAATTAACCTACAAAGGATACAAACTAGAATGATTGAAGTAAACTGGGCCAAGAAGCAAGTTCAAAACTAGTAGTGCAGTCCATAGCAGCTACAAATTGGGTGCAAGTTGGATTAATAACGTATGACCTCATTCATAGAGAAACTGTTATTAAGCAGAATATATTTTATCTGTATTTTTTCAGCAAAAAATATTTTACAACATACAGAGCTAATATAGTTCTGATGCATGCTTAATAAAGTCTACCATTCAGCTCCAGATCACAGGATCTGTACTTTTTTATTTACTGAGCATCAATTTGTTTTGCTGAAGTAAACCATAATCAATTGCTAAAGAGAGGTTGTGTTCACATGGCTTATCCATGGTAAACTGAATGGTTTTCTCAATCCTGTGTTCTGGATTGGCACAATAGATTGAAGTACAGGTAGTCCCCAGTTTAAAAACAAGTTCTGTTCCCAAGGTCTATCCTTAGGTTGAATTTGTAAGTAAGACTGAACAGTATTATTGTATAATACTATGTAAGTAGTATTGTGTAATGAACTCAAACCATTGTGTATTTAACTCAAATTTTGCTACAATAGGCTCTGTTCTTAACTATAGGTCATTCTTAACCAGGGGACTACCTGTATAGCTGGTCATCTTGCCAAGGTTTGCAGTATCTTGTAACCTGCCACAATAAGGTTAATAATAGGCATCCTTTGAGTTAGACATAATTAAAGCAAAATGACAGGAAAAGACAATCCATTACTCAGTGATCAATTGTTTCATGTGAAATTGAGACTGTTTACCTCAAAACTCCTGGCAACTATATGTGAAATTGTTCTACAACCAATAAAGGGGGGAAAAACACCTTTTTTTCCCCAGGCTAACAGAAAAGCATTACAACCTGTTCAGCCAATTAAGCATTTCTTTTTGGAATGGAAAAAATACCAGTGCTAGATTAACTATATCTGTTCTAGTTTCTCTTAGGGGTCTTTAATACAGTACTTCTTAAACTTAACAATTGTGGCTAGTTTAGAAATAATAAAGAAGTAACTTTATAAGAGATAATAATACCATTATCACAATAAAGTAGCATTCTATTTGCCCTCAAGAGTGTCTATAATCACTCCTGCTTCCAGAGGTAATGCTGATCAGAACATGTGATTTTCCAATAGTCCTTTCAGCACTGCTTAGCATTATAGTTCAGCAATATTTGATCAGTCACAGCTTCCCCATTATTGACCTACAGCCTAATCCCATACAAGTTCATTTTTATTCTTTTTAAAATATAGGCTTTAAAATCAAATAAATGATTCAAGGCATGTATATTTTAAAGTTATTCAAGAGCACCATCTCACCCATTCATTCCTCTCCCATTCCCCTCCTTCCAAAACTAAGGGCAAAAACAGTAAAACATTAAAGGGAAATTTCATTTCTACTTTCATCCCGAACAATGAGGAGCAGCACAAAGTTGGCATTACTTCATGTCAGTAATGAATGATAGTTTCGTTTTCCAGAGAAGTGTACAAGTTTTAATCTACTGTACCAGACACGCCTAACCTTTTGTAAACCAAAGCCCACTTCATTAGATGTGTGGAATGTGATTCTGAATTGGCATATTTACAGTCCTGAGAAGAAGAAAAAATGTTACAACAAAGACAGAGGAGAATATAATGCAGGACATACCATTATACTATATGAAAACTTATATACAAGTTGTTAATTTACCTACACAAAAATGTTTATCAACCACACAATATGATGGGCACTCAAATGTCAGTTCAAATCACCAATAAATTGCCACTGCATTATTTTATCATGCTATGACTAGTTCACACATTGTTCTAAGCCATAACATGGTTTTTATTTGGTCTTAACTTAGCATGTGGCACTGTGTTTTGTAAACAGTACTTCATACTGCTTAGTCTCATATATAAGCCTATCCAATTGTAAGTTATTCAACAGTTAAGATTAATCAAACCATAAGTTAGCACAATGTATAAGCCAAGTTTACAAACACTTAATAATTTGGTGCTGATAAGTTATTTAGCAATAGCAGTTTTTGAATGTCACTGTGGTTATTTTATATATGCCTGTATTTTGTCTTGCATTTCATTCTCCTGGTCTATCATTTTTACTTTGATTCAATATGCATATTTACCAACACCAAACAACATTTCACACTTTTAAGCTGGATTCTGGGGCACAAAAGAATATCCCTTTGTTAAAATGTTGTAAAATACATCGCTGTTTCCCTGTTTGAAAGACTTCTTCAAGACTCCAGCGGAATGCCAAAAAGTATGTGATGATACTCTTTAAAGCAGGGTTTCCCAGACTGTACTTCCCTTGGGGAGGTGGGAAGAACATTTTAGCTACATTGTTACAATAAATCTACCTTTCCCAAAGTTTCATTGTACTGTTTTCCTTGTTCATTTGTGTTCATTTTGGTGTTCTGATTTTTAGGGAGATATGTACATTAAGATTACACTAAAGGGAGGTGTGATGGCAAAAAGTTTAGGAACCCCTGCTTTAAAGGAATGCTGAGAATTCACTCCGTTCTGAGAGAGAGAGAAACAGAGCCAAGCATCCTTATGAATGGGCCTCAGATGTTGGCCTGGAGCCAAAGAAAATGTATCCTTTTCATTTACACGACGTGGGAAGCAGACTTTCAGCAGACAAAGCTCCTCCACCGGCTACATACCCCGATGAAATCAGCAACAGCCAATGGGCTTCCGCTTTTAACGTTGTAAGATTTCGGTTAGGACTGGGGGGCAATTTCAGTCCAAGCCTCTCCTCGCCGAACAGCCCGATCTGGATTCAAGCTCAGGCAACTCGAATTTTAAACCCTTTTCCAACCCCGCTCTTTCGCAGGCACTCTGATTCCTGTCAAGAGCGGGGAAAGGAATCACTACTCCAGATTTACAAAGGCGTGGAAAGGGAGGCCACGGCTGCTGGAAGGAAGTTTCGATAAAGGGAAGCTATTGTGCTCCTCTAGTAAGAGGACAGGTAGGGAGGGAAGTAAGGGGAAGAGCCCCGAGGGGCACGACCTTCCTCCCGCCCAGGCCTTGCCCGCGTCAGGATTTTCGCCCTCTCCGAAAACCACCTCTTACCTCTCCGCCTCGGCGCCCAATTTGTCTTCCCTTCGCTCCGAACCAGAGCAGAACCCCCTCCCTTTTTGCCCGACGCTTCCGGCCCAGGCCTCGCCCCGCCTCCTCTGACTCCCGTAGGCTGGGTGTCCCCCTCTCCTTGCTTTCTTTGGCAGATCGCTCTTGTCTATCAAAGGAGCCGCCCCGCCCCTCGGCAGCCAACTGCAGCTGCAACCGAGGAAGAAAGGAGGTTAGTGCGCACGCGCAGGAGGAAGAGCAGCTGCTTCTGTTGTAGAAACGCGTCAACCCCAGCTGTGGGTCGAGGTAGCTGGGGGCTAATTTTTATTTCACGCGGTCGTGGTCGTTGGACCTAGGGTGGTCGAGAGAATGCGGATTTTTGCCGAGGACCTGCCTTTTCTTCGCTTTGCCAGGGACTGCATTGCATAAACCTTAACGTGATGTGTAGTAGAGGTTCTCTCGGGAAGTATCTCTCCGATACGTTACTAGTCAGATACTTGGGAAGAAGCAGGGTTTTTTTTCCCTGAATGGCATCTGTTCAACACCCAACATTTATGAAAACAGCTTTATTTTTTCCCTTTAGAAAACATGTTAAAATCTTTTTGTTTCAACACACATTTGAATTGAATAAAAACTAAACTTTAAGGAAGGATCATTTATGTTGCTACCCATGTTTTTATATTGTTTAAAAACCTAATTAAATCTGATGGTATGTATATGTTACAAAGGACTGAGGACTCCAATAAGCCATACAGCTGGTGGTTTTCATCCCATCTATTTTGCTTTCATTCTGAGAACTTGTCTATTTCTGAACTAAGTCTATGTATATTTATTTGTGTATGTCTTTAAGCCCTGTTGTGATGACACAACTTCTGATACCAAGTGCCAATCTATTTAGTCCCTGAGGCCACAATCATGTCTATAACCTGCAACTGTTTGTTGGAAAGGTATTTTGCCTTAAGGAATGTGGGAAGCTTTATAAATACATGGTATCATGTATGGATGAACATTTATTTGGGACTGTTCAATATTTCCTTGTATAGGAATAAAAAACATAGGATACTTCCTCATAACAAGTTATATAACGGGTTCATCAAGCTGTTTTGGCACTATCTGTGATCTTCAAGATTTCAGGCAGACTCAGTTTTGGCTCTGCTTACATGCCAGACACTAAATCTGGGAACTTTTCCTTGCAAAACTTTGTTTTGTCATTGAACTACTATATGGTCTTTTCTTTTTTCAGAGGATTGGCATTCCTCAAAACCAGAACAATGCCCTTAGCCATGAAATGGTGAAATAGAACTTGCTGCTGCTAATACCTTGTGAGCAGTTGGAATGCTATCCTTTTTTTATACAAATGAGTAATGATAAGAACAGCGTACAGGTAGTCTCCGGGTTAAGAAAACCTGGTTTAAGGGTGACTCATAGTTAAGAACGGAGCTTACTGTAGTAAAATTCGAGTTACACACACAATGATTTGAGTTAAATACACAATGGTTTGAGTTAATTGCACAATACTACTTATACAGTATTATAGAATAATACTGTTCCAGCTTACATACAAATTCAACTCAGGTACAGACTTGTACGGAACTAGTTCTTAAACTGGGTACAGGAATTGGTACAGGAACGGAACTAGTTCTTAAACTGGGGACTACCTGTAACATGCCAAATAAATGCAATGATGTGCAAAACAATAATGGCTGTTTCAGCCCCTTGTGCAATCAAAGACTAGTACAACTGCTACATTCATAGAGTTTACCTAACCATAAAATAGCTAACGTGATGAACACTTTCTAGCACTCTGAGCCTATTGGCTCCTTTGAACCACTGGAGCAGCACACTTTGCTCATCAGCCATCTAAAGCAGAGCACACCTATGATCCATAGTGTTATCTTGAAAGACATCAGTTTGACAGGATTATGTAAGTAACTGCTTGAGCTCTTGAAGGCTCACATATCATTAGTAATAGCATCTTTGTTTTCTGTCAGCCTCTTTTTCAATTGGCATTAATTTTTTCACACACTAATCTTCTCCAGTAACTGCTGCCTTCACATTAGGCATCTGAAATATCTATACTTTAGTTTCATCTCATGTTCAGTATGGATCTATTTCATCTAGTTCTGAGTGTTTTATCCAGGCTCAACAATTTTCTCCAGCACAATTCAGAGGCATCCATTTTACTTTGGTAATCTTTCCCAGACATACAGTATAACTGGGAAAATCACAGCCATACTGTGCTGCCTTTGCTGTCAATCTCTGCACTTCTATATTTTGTCTAGTTTTGCCAATCTCTCCTCCAAATAGCAGATATCTCTTTATTTCATGATTATAACCACCATCCCTATGAATTTTTGAGCCTAAGAAGACAATTTGTTACTACAACCTCTCCACCTATTTTCATTGGCAAACAGGCATTGGCATTGTCCTTTAACATTACCTTTACAAAAAAAAATTGAGCAATAGTCCGGCTTTTGTTTCAAGACGAGAGCCCTTATTTCCCTACTTATGTCCATGGGATCATGAAGAGTTAGACACAACTCCCGAGTTTATTTATACAAACAGCCTGTATGAATCCTCTGTCAGAAGGAATGAAGTTTGTGAACCATTTAGAAACAACTGTAGTCCTGTAGAATTGCAACCTGCAATGTCTGAGCTTCATTTATTTCCTCTTTAATAAAAAAAAAACTGTATTGTGTTTTTATTGAACACAGTGAGTCAACATTCAATCTTTGCTGGAAATTTTTTTTAAAGCTTTAGATGTAGTAATGGAAACATTTTTTTTTAGCAGCAGTGACTTCAACCAAATGTTTCTTGCATCTGTTGATCAATTCTGCACATCAGGTTACAGGTATTTTGGCCTATTCCTCTTTATAGATCTGGTTCAACTCACTGACATTTTTTGTTGTTTTTTATGATCTCCTTAGTTCAGATTGTAGCATATTTCAATTGCATTGAGGTTTGTTATCATGCTCCATGTCCCACATTTGTTTTGGATTCAACTCATGGGCCAATACTCTGACTTCCTGTAGAAGTTGTTGGTACTATCCAGAATCCATTTTTCTCTCAAGGATTGCAAGTTGTCTGGGTCTTGAGGCTGCAAAACAGCACATCATTTTTCTCCTCATCATGCTTCATAGATGGGATGAGGTCCTTTTGTTGGAAGGCAATGTGTTTTTTTTCCCAGTAACATTTCTCATCAGTGCCAAAAAATTTCCACTTTTGCCTCACTGGTCCACAAAACATTGTTCTAATAAGCTTGACATGGATGGAAATGTGCTTCTCAAAAACCGTGCTTTCCTTCTTGTTATCCTCTGAAGCATACCACTCTTGTGCAGTGTTTTCCTTATGGTGGAATCATGAACACTGATGTCATACAATGCAAGAGTGGCCAGTGCTAGAATTCTTATGACTCAATACTGGGAAAGAGTAAAAAGGGTATTGTATTTTCTCCATTGATACACTAACTGCCTTACTGTGGATTGCTGGAGGCCAGAATCTTTGGTAATGGTTTTATAACTCTTTCCAGCCCTCAACTTTTTCTGAAGTCCAGAAATATCTTTTGTTTGGGGCGTGATCCATTTTGTTCTGCAGAATTATGAGTAGTTCTAAAGAGTTCACAAACTTCGTCTAATAGCAGTATGTAGTGGTACATGGCTGACTTTGGGCTCAGGAGCTAACCAGGGTCAGAGCCCGTTAACTTAGATAGGAAACCTCCATGAAATAGCAGAGGTATAGGCTAGAGAGGAAAGTCAGAAAAAATTTCCAGAAGGCACTAGCAACCTACTTCTGTGCTACTGCCAAAAACTACATGACCATGTCCAGGTAGTTTACTAGAAGTAGATTTTTAAAAGATTAAAATTCATCTCAGTAGGACCAGACTGCAATTAACTTAGTCTTGATTCAATACAATGTTGGGGCTTGGCAAATAGGCAAAACCTGAGATCTATATTGATTAGACCATACTGCAATGAGAGCACATCAACTATCTGCTTATATTCCCTTCCTCCCACAATTGAAATAGAAGTAGTGATATTATCTTAAAACCTGAGTAATCAAAATCCAGATCAAATATATACATTTTTAATATCTGAAATATTTACATGATGAAACTTTTATAGGATCCCGTTAAGAACAAATTTTCAGATGCAAGAATTCAGTAACAGGGGATCACAGTTATACCTTCTGAGTAAGTGATCTGTATTTCTTCAGGTGAAGAGATATTAGAAGAGTGATTTTTTTGAAAGACAAGTTGTTGCTTCCTGGAAAGTGTTTGTCCTGCATACAGTCTTTTTACTTGTGAGATTTTAAAAAATGCAGTTTACAGTACATAGTTATTTATACCACATCAGCATATGTATAAAACCCATAAAGTAAGAGGGCAGGAAACGGTGCCCTCTACAAATCTGACAGACACTTTACAGTACAAAAAAGAATAAAGTCACAGCTGACTTGATGGCTTACTTAAAACAGTTTTTCCATCTTTTGAACACATTATGATCTAACATTGTAAACTGTTCTGCTCAAGTTACATCTTTATACCAATCCTTTCCACAAATATTCCAAACTGGCCTATTTCCAGTTTCTTTTTAAATAATAAAGATTAAGATGTCTGGTTTCTATTGGAGGGCTAAAAGCAAATAAAACTGTGTGGTATTTCTCCTAATTAAAACAACGACAACAACAAAACTAAGTATGTGATGTTCTGATAAAGTTTAACTGAAAGTCCTGAGTTTATGCAAGTCCACCATTTTTTTTTCTACAGGACAGGCCATCTAAAAATATTACAAAGCCCGACAAGTGAACAAGTTCACATCCATGCAGGTGAAAATTGTCTGCCAGTAAAATGACTCCCATCCATTTTTGGAATTTTAAAGTTTATTCTATTTTTTAAAAATGGAGGGAAAGAGATTGGTACATTTACATAAAGTTCAATTATTTTCTTATGTAATAAGTGGAGATGTTTTCTAAAACATGGGTCTCTTCAATATTTACAAGAAGCAGTCTAGAATATGAAGGTCAGAGACTGTATACAGCAGCTGCAAGTTATAAATCATACCTGTTACTTTATCTGGCGCATGAAAACCACC